ATTCCTGACTTGGTGCAGCCCTCTGAGATTGTGAAAGAGTTGCTCTTTGTAGATCCCCTTGGCTGTGGATTACATTCATGCCTGGGTCTCATGAGCAGGGCCTGCCAGCACAGCTGCTAGCATTTCGGTCACGACACAGCTTGCACATAAGGGTGTGTTTAGCAGTGCTTTAGGGGACCCCCTCACTCTTTGCGGAACCCTTAGTGTAGCATTGTTTAATCCTCTGCAGCTTCCTGCCACATAAAGGGGAGATTTCCTGCTCGAATATTCTTCTTCTGTAAGGCAGAGAGGCTGGCTGTCACCATGGCTTAGGCTGGTTTCCTCTGACCCAGCCCTTTAGCCCAAAGTCTGAACAGCAGAAGACGTTCCCAGAAGAAATGGGCTCTTCTAGAGCATCCACTGAGAATGTAATGAGTACTTGTCCAGAGTCCAGCATTGTAAAGGCGTATGATTGACCCCAACTTTTTTTCCTGCTTGCTGCCATAAACAATCACCAGCCCCAAATGGTATAATTTACAGCAAGGAGGAAGTCCCACTTAGGCCCAGCATGACAGAAAGAAGTTTGTCTTCGTTGTTTGGAGGAACCCGACAGCTAACAGCGCCAGCCATTGCTTGGTCCAGGACAGGTTTGCGGAGGGAAGGCGCCTGGCTCCCAATGCTTCCCTGAGGCTGGTGCCAAAGTTGGGAGGAGCACCTCTTCAGCCATCTGGGTGTTCCTTCCTGAGAGCTGTGCAGTAGTTTTTCCAAATGTGAAGTCACATTTGTGCCTGGGATTTTGTTCCTCTCCCCATTTATTTTATTATTTTTTTTTTTGAGATGGAGTTTTGCCCTTGTTGCCCAAGTGAGAGTACAGTGTCTCGATCTCAGCTCACTGCAACCTCTGCCTCCGGGATTCAAGCGATTTTCCTGCCTCTGCCTCCCGAGTAGCTGGGATTATAGGCATGTGCCCCCATGCCTGGCTAATTTTGTATTTTTAGTAGAGATGGGGTCTCTCCATGTTGCTCAGTCTGATCTTGAACTCCCGACCTCAGGTGATCTGCCCGCATCGGCCTCCCAAACTGCTGGGGTTATAGGTGTGAGCCAGCACACCTGGCCCCTCTCCCCATTTATTTACTCATTCCACATTTATCAATCCCTTTCTGTACGCTTTATGTAAGGTGTTTTGTAAGGCATGGGGCAGACACAAAGAAGCAAAGGCAAGCTCCCTGCTTCTGAAATGCCTGGGAGTAGGGGAAGCCTACAGGCTGACAAGCAGGTGCAAGACTGTGTGGCGAGGACTAGAAAGAACAATGCATGCTGGGTAGGGGAGAGTGGGACTAACTCCATCTGGAAGAGGCGGGAAGGGCGTATTGGAAGACAGCATATTTCATCTGAAACTTAAGGAGTAGAGGAACTTACCTGGTAGAGAGTAGGATGAAGAAGATTCCAAGAGCTTGGATCCAGGTGCCCTAAGAGAGGCAGCAGGTAAGCCCTTCTTTTGAAGTCTCTTCAAGAATAGGCAAGAGGAGGCCCAGATCATCTTGCAGAGGACAAAGGTTCCTTATCTTCGGCTTCCATGAGGTTTTCCCAGTAGCCTGAAAAAGATGTTGAGGGAGGAAAATGTGTCCTTCACCTGAAGCCTGGTTTTTAATCCAGTTTTTGTTTTTCTGTTCGTTTTTGTTTTTTGTTTTTCTTTTTGAGATAGAGTCTCACTCTGTCACCCAGGCTGGAGTGCAATGGTGCGATCTTGGCTCACTGCAATCTCCGCCTTCTGGGTTCAAGCATTTCTCCAGCCTCAGCCTCCCAAGTAGCTGGGACTACAGGTATGTGCCACCACACCCAGCCAATTTTTTGTATTTTTCACCATATTAACCAGGATGGTCTCAATCTCCTGACCTCATGCTCCGCCCACCTCGGCCTCCCAAAGTGCTGGGATTACAGGTGTGAGCCACTGTGTCTGGGCTTTTAAATCCAGTTTTAAACCAGTGAGGGAGGGTGAAAACTTGGTTTTGGTTTTAGCTCAGCTTCTCATAACTATAGGCAAGTTGCCTCAGCTTTCTGATTTTCAGTTTCTCTGTCTGTAAAATGGGGTGACAGGTAGGTTTGATCAAGGATCACTAAGGTCCCTTCTAGACCAGCATTCTGTGGGTCCATTGCTACTTAAAGTGTGAAGTGAGGATCTAGAGAGTGTTGAGTCAATGGATCAGAGGACAGAGTAGTAAGTCACACTCAGTGAGTAGGACAGGGCCCACAGAAGAACCCAAAAAGGTATATCGGGGAAGGAGAGCTGCAATGACCTAAAAATATATATGTGAGCACCAGTGTCCAAGGCTGTGGAAGATCCAACATGGAGATACAGAAAAGGGCCCTGAGCTTGGCAAGGAGAGGTTGTGATTGACCTTTGAAGAACAGAAGCCAGGCTAGGATAGGCGAAGCACGAATGAATGGATGGTGAGGAGCAGAGCCCACCCTGGACTAAAGTGCAAGGCAGTGCATGTGGAGGCCCCTCTTCCTTGAGGCTACGTCTTCCACACTCTGGGCCCACTGACTGCTACAGTGTCCCATCCCCATGCCTTTCATAGCTGCTTCCAGGACGTGTCCTGTGCATCAGAAGAAGCTCCTTCCAATTGCAATGGTCTGAATGTTTATGTCCCTCCACAATTCATACATTAAAATCCTAACCCTGAAGGGCGATGATTAGACAGCAGGGCCTTTCAGGAGGTGATTAGGTCACAGGGGCAGAGCCCTCATGCGTGGGATTAGTGCCCTGATAAAAATGGGCCTGGCTGGGTGTGGTGGCTCACTCCTGTAACTCCAGCACTTTGGGAGGCCGAGACAGGCGGATCACGAGGTCAGGAGATTGAGACCATCCTGGCCACCATGGGAAAACCCCGTTTCTACTAAAATACAAAAAACATTAGCGGGGCGTGGTGGCACGCACCTGTAGTTCCAGCTACCTGGGAGGCTGAGGCAAGAGAATCGCTTGAACCCGGGAGGCTGAGGTTGCAGTGAGCTGAGTTTGTGCCACTGTACTCCAGCCTGGTGACAGAGCAAGACTCCGTCTCAAAAAAAAAAAAAAAAAAAAAAAAAAAAAAAAAAAAAAAAAAAAAAAAAAAAAAAAAAAAAAAAAAAAAAAAAAAAAAAAAAAAAAAAAAAAAAAAAAAAAAAAAAGGATCTCCTTTGCTCTTCCACCATAGGAGGCAGAGAAGGCTCCAATTTTAAACCAGGAAGAGGTCCCTCACCAGACACCAAATCTGCCAGTGCCTTGATCTTGGACTTCCCAGCCTCCAGAACTGTGAGAAATAAATTTCTGTTGTCTAATGGCCACCCAGTTTGTGGCGTTTTGTTATAGCAGCTCAGACAGATGAAGACACCAACCAAAACTAATTGCACAGCAAAACCAAAAAGTAAAAAGTTAATTTATTGGGTGCTGCTATATGCCAGATACTGTGCTAAAGTCTTCACCTATAGATAATTACATCTTTACAGTAACCCTGTGCTAAATATTGTTTCCCCCTTTTTGCAAATGAAGAAATTGAAGCTTAGAGAAATTAAGAAACTTACTTTAACTACTTTTAAATCCAGTTTTAAACCAGTGAGGCACGGTGAAAACCTGGTTCTGGTTTTAGCTCAGCTTCTAATAACTACAGGCAAGTTGCCTCAGCTTTCTAGATTTCAGTTTTTCTGTCTGTAAAATGGGGTGACAGGTAGGTTCGATCAAGTATCACTAAGGTCCCTTCTAGACCAGCATTCTGTGGGTCCATTGCTCACATGGACCTCACATAGCTCAAAATTGGAGGGTGGGGGGTGGATTTGAGCCCAGGCTGCATGGCTTCGGAGCCCAAGCTTTCAAGAGCCGTGGTACATAGTAATCTGATAAAACTAATTCATACCAGAATGTGAACGACTGACAGGTGACTGCCTGTGGAAATTAAATCTATTTCATGATCTTGCATTGTGGAGAAGGAGTTTGAGAATCCAAAAGCAGGGGATACAAATGCTGGTGTGTCCTAGACAGGGGAGCTCATGTTCTAGTCACTCTTAGATTATACTGTGCAGATTACCGGGAGTTCTAACTGTTTGTCTACTAAGGAAAGAAAAGCTCAAGTTTGCCAGTGAGTTTCAAAGGGTTGGTGAATAAAAGAAAGGGGAGACGTAGTAGGCAGAGCTGATTCAGAATTTGGTTTTTGGTTTTGTAAGGAGAGAAAGATCTGTGTCTACTTGAAGGCAGAGGAAAGGTCGCAGTAGAGAAGGAATCCCTGGAGGTACACAAAAGAGAGAGAAGACATTTGAGGGGCCTGCAAATCATCAGGAGGTTGGAGGATCTAATGCATGGCAGAGGGTTTGGGATTTTCACTCTGCTGAGCAAGGTGAACCTTTTCCTGAGTGCAGAGGGGAGGTCGAGGGATAAAGGAGGGGACACGTGTTAAAATGACAAACCAGGAGGAGGAAGGGAGAGCAAGATGGTCACCTTGGTCTGCTTGGCAAGAAAATGAGGAGAGTTTCTCATCTGTCATGAGGGTGGAAAGAGCAGTCGTGAAATTAGGAGGCTCAAGCAGGAAACAGTGTTAACAGTTCAGGAGCAGATCTCTAGAGAGAAGACCTGCAGTGGGAGGCCGGAGTTGAAGTCTGTCCTTGCAAGCCTCCCGTGTTCTGTGGCATTTTTCCTTTCTCCATCCTAACTGCAGGAAGTCCCCCTCACCTCAGGTTGGATCCTAAGATGAGAACTCAGTGATTCCTGGCTGGATTTGACAATGCCATCTCCTCTCATTGTCCCTGTGATCTCTGCCATTCTCTTGGTCTCTTTGAGCAAGAGCCCTGATGCATCGTGAACATTTTCCTAAAGAATTTTTCCAAGTCCCAAGAAGTCCCAAGTCAGTGTCACCAAGAGGATCTCCTTCACCTGCCACTTTAGGAACACTTAAAACATAATGGTGGACAAAACTGTCCTGGAAACCTGAGCATTCAGACATTTACAGGATAAGGGCTGTCCCTCACTGGGTTTCTTTCCAATATTTTAGGAGATGGGGAAGAAGATGAAGGTGATGAAGACACGTTGGACAATGCAGTCAGGGGCCCTGGGCCCAAGGGGCCAGTTGGGACGGTGTCAGAAGCTCAGCTTGCTCGGAGGCTCACCAAAGTAAAGAACAGCAGGCGGATGCTGTCCAATAAGCCACAGGACTTCCAGGTAGGAATGGCCTGGGGCTCTGCATCTTTGTTTAATCTTCAGATTGCCCATTTTCTGACAATTGCGGTGATGTTTCAGTGATATTTCAATGGACAGTGGCTCAGCTAGTAAAGAGAGATGTCAGTACGTAAATCCAGTAAGAAAAGCTCTCCATCTTTCTTCTGCAGGCACAAATGGGTTTAGTCTGGCCAGATGATGGTCTTCAGAGAAATAAAACCATGATTCTCCTTCCCTTTGGTGGAAGGAAATAGCTAATCAAATAGTAGAAGCGCAAACACTGTTTTTCGTAGCTCTGGGCACTGTCTTAGACTTGGGAGGCAGCCATGGAGTGAGTTGGTTCATCACCAGGCTCATCAAGACCAGGTGCATTGCTGGAGTCTGACCTCTACCCCGCCCTGCTCTTTCCCAGGCCAGCTTTGAGCGATTTCATCTCTGCAACTGCTCTTGGTCTCTATAACCCAACCCCAGTTCCCATCTTGGGAATGATCCTAGGCAGCCCCGCCCAATTGGTAGCACCTGGTATACCACAGAGCTGTCCTGGGTTAGCAATCCTGATAGGTGCACGGAATGAAGAAGCACCTGAGGATGCTTTTAAACCACGTACTGGGAAAGGATTGGTAGCCTCCCGCTTCTGTGCTGCAGATCCGCGTCCGAGTGATTGAGGGCCGACAGCTAAGCGGCAACAACATAAGACCTGTGGTCAAAGTTCATGTCTGCGGCCAGACACACCGAACAAGAATCAAGAGAGGAAACAACCCATTTTTTGATGAGGTAAAGGGGCTGAGAGGGCATGTTTCTGCTCGTGAGTCCCACAGGAGAGGGAAACACGGGAGCAGCTTCACTGGTGAAGACATCAGAGGAACAAAATTAGGCGTGACCATGTGAACACTGGGCAGAGTCTTGGAAACAGCCCTGGAGTGTAAGCTTCATGGTAAACCCACTTCTGCATGCAGGAGAAGGAGAAATGGGTAAGTAATCAATATAGCTTTTTTTTTTTTTTTTTTTTTTGAGACAGAGTTTTGCTCTCGTTGCCCAGGCTGGAGTGCAATGGTGCAATCTCGGCTCACTGCAACCTCCACCTCCCAGATTTGAGTGATTCTCCTGCCTCAGCCTCCCAAATAGCTGGGACTACAGCCATGCACCACCACACCTGACTAATTTTGTATTTTCAGTGGAGACAAGGTTTTACTGTGTTGGTCAGTCTGGACTCAAACTCCTGACCTCAAGTGATTCACCCACCACCAAAGTGCTAGGATTATAGGCATGAGCCACTGTGCCCAGCCAGCATTTATTTAACTAAATAAAATTGTTCACTTGGGACAACTTAAAAAATATCTAGCTTTTAGATACCTAAAAGCTAAATGATGTGAAGATCCAAGGCTAAGCAGGTAGGGGATACACCCTGTAATCCCAACACTCAGGAGGCTGAGATGGGAGGAGTGCTTGAGCCCAGGAATTCAAGACCAGCCTGGTCAATATTAGTGATATGCCTTTGAAAAAAAACCAAAACACCTGGTCCCCTCTGTTGGTGGTTCTCAGAGATGCTGTTGCCTTTCTGGTGTTTTTGTGACAATTTTTGTTGATCCTTTCCTGATGAACCCTTTCGACTCTTATGATAGAGCATGTGATGTCTCATATCTACCTTTGCTTTTTCTAATTAGCATTGTGTCTCTGAGGGCCAACTCTCTGTGACTAAGTAATCCAGTTTTTTAGAGGTGTCAAAACATACTTGGCTGCAAAAATAATATAGGTTAAAGGAAAACAATTATTAGCACACAGGGGCTTTGTTTATTTTGCTGTCCCATACTAAGTTTCTTGTTTTTTCTAAGACAGAGCCTCTCTCTGTTGCTCAGGCTGAAGCGTGGTGGTGCGATCTCGGCTCACTGCAACTTCTGCCTCCCAGGCTGAAGCAGCCTTCCCACCTCAGCCTCCCAAGTAGCCGGGACTATAGCCACTCACCATCACACTCAACTAATACTTGTATTTTTAGTAGAGATAGTTTCACCATGTTGCCTGTGCTGGTGTCGAACTCCTGGCCTCAGGTTCTCCAACCATCTCGGCCTCTCAAAGTGCTGGGATTACAGACGTGTCCCGTCTCCCATACTGAGAACTAGCCTGTTCTATTGACCTCTTTTATAATACTCCTCAAAAATATGCGATACTTTATCATCTCAAATGCCACAAAACTCCATGACTGGGCTGTGTGGAGAAATGATATATTCGGGGACCTTTGTAGAGTCCTGCCCAGCTGTGCGGAGGAGACACATTTCTGAGATTCCTCAGCCGGTGTCTCCTGCTCTGTTCTCTAGCCCAGGCCTTTCTTATCACACTTCCTCTTCGTTCCCTATAGCTTCTCATTTCAGCCCTGGCTTTTGACCTTTTTTTTTTCTACCTCTTTATTCAGAAAAGAAATGGTTCCTTCCATGTAGCATTTTTTTTCTTTTTTTTGAACCGGAGTCTAGCTCTTGTCCTGCAGGCTGAAGTGCAGTGGTGCGATCTCAGCTAACTGAAACCTCTGCCTCCCAGGTTCAAGCAATTTTTCTGCCTCAGCCTCCCGAGTAGCTGGGATTACAGGTGCCTGCCACCATGCCTGGCTAATTTTTGTATTTTTAGTAGAGACAGGGTTTCACCATGTTGGCCAGGCTGGTCTCAAACTCCTGACCTCGTGCTCCGCCCACCTTGACTTCCCAAAGTGCTGGATTACAGGTGTGAGCCACCGCGCCTGGCTCCATGCAGCATTTCTATTTCTTCCTCTTTGTTCAAGCTGGCTCCCAGCTCTGAAGGCCCCATTTTCTTCTCACTCTCCCCCTCAGAGGAATCACAGACAACAGCATGCAAGCAAGTATAGTAGTATACACGTTCACACTAGAGGTAGGGGCTGCACTGAGATGGGCACTGGAAATTGACTTCAGGGAAGGCTGAGAGTGATTCACATTGGAAGGCAGGACTGGATGGGGAGGGGAGGAAGCATGATTCTTGGTGGACAACTTGGCCTAACACATAAGGCCTGCCGATAATGCAGGCTTCCTGTTGACTCAGCTACATTCTTAGGAGCCCAGCAAACACCTCCACCTTCCTCGGAATTTCCCCATTTTAATGAGTTTGAGATTAGATCTCTTGGCAAAAAGGAAGACCAGTACATAAATCAATAAAAAAATTTTATGGGATAGGAGAAACAAAAGTAAGATGATAAAAACAAATATGTATATAAAAGAGGTTTACTAAAAAAATTTCTAGCCTGGCCAGGCATGGTGGCTCATGCCTGTAATCCCAGCACTTTGGGAGGCAAAGGTGGGTGGATCATCTGAGATCAGGAGTTCAAGACCAGCCTGGGCAACATAGTGAAACCCTATTTCTTCTAAAAATCCAAAAAATTAGCTGGGTGTGGTGGTACACACCTGTAGTCCTAGCTACTCAGGAGGCTGAGGCAGGAGAATCACTTAAACCTGGGAGGCAGAGGTTGCAGTGGGCCAAGATCAGGCTACTGCACTCCAGCCTGGGTTGCAGTGGGCCAAGATCAGGCTACTGCACTCCAGCCTGGGTGACAGAGCAAGACTCTGTCTCAAAACAAAAAATTAGCTGGGCATGGTGGTGGGTGGCTGTAATCCCAGCTACTTGGGAGGTTGAGGCAAGAGAATTGCTTGAACCTGGGAGACAGAGGTTATAGTAAGCCAAGATCGTGCCACTGCACTCCAGCCTGGGATACAGAGTGAGACTCTGTCTCAAAAATAAATAAATCCTATATATATCTTTTTAAACCAAGTAATATTAATCTTGTTATCACCAATAGTGGGAACAAAATGATGTGGTGTCCTCATGTGATAAAACAGAAGTAATCAACATCACCTTTGTCAGGCCAATTTGCATCCAACACTGAGGAAACATGAATACAAATCTAGACTGTGGGATATTTTACAAAACAGTGGGCATGGTGGCTCACACCTGTAATCCCAGTACTTTGTGGGGGCCAAGGCAGGAGGATCGCTTAAGGCCAGTAGTTCAAGACAAGCCAGAGCAGCATAGTGAGACTTCATCTCTACTTAAAGAAGAACAAAAAACAAAAAAAGGAAATAACACTCTTCTATATAAAAGGAAGCAGAAGAGACAAAAAAAAAAACCCCAATGCAATGTATGATTCTTGCGTAAATCCTATATCTCTTTGAAAAGCTAAGAGTTTTTTTGCGAGGACAATTGGAAAAATTTGAAAATTGACCATATGTTAGATGTGAGGTTTCTTGGTTATGATAATGGTATTGTAATTATATAGGAAGATGTCCTTGCTCTTAGGAGATGCATGTAAATGTATTCTGAAGGGGTGAAGTGATATCTAAAGCTTTCTTACAAATAGTTCAGTTTAAAAAAGAGAAAGATAAAGCAAATGTCCAAAAAGGGTAACAACTGGTGAACAAAGGTGAAATGTGGTATTTATTTTATCATTCTTTCAGCTTTCTTGTAGATGAGAAATATTTCTAAGTAAAACATTGGAGGAAAAAGTCTCAGTTGGAATAAGTGCTCACTCTTTTCCTTTTAGGATTAACATTTATTAGCCTAACATGGTTAAACCTCCCATACACCTCATATTCATCTCCCAGTAATCAACCTTCTTAAAATTAGCTTTTACATTGTGCTCAGTATTGACTTTGCTGAGGCACTAACTTAGTCTAATGGGCAAAGTTGTCTTTATAGGTGCTTTCTTGGAGTACTATTAGTGTCACTAGACACAAATAATAGAACTAAAAATATTAGAGAAGTTTAAAACACACACTCCAGGTCATGCCAGCTCTAAGCACTCATTTTAGTAAGCATCGCTACATGAAATCACCTTGGTTCCCTGTTTTGAGACAGCCTCTTCCCATATTGCCCTGGCTGGCCTGGAACTCCTGGGCTCAAGCACTCCTCCCATCTAAGCCTCCTGAGTGTTGGGATTACAGGGGTGTATCCCTGTACCTGCTTAGCCTTGGATCTTTACGTCATTTAGCTTTTAGATATCTAGTTCCAAGTGAACAATTTTATTTAGTTAAGTAAATGCCGTATTTGTTACTTACCCCTTTCTCCTTTTTTCAAACATGCAGAAGTGGGTTTACCATGAAGCTGAAACTCCAGGGCCTTTTCCAAAGCCTTGCCATGTGTTCACATGGTCAAACCTAATTTTGAATTTGTGTTTTGTACTTTTTTAGGGGGACCCACAAAATTATAGCATCAGATCTCACTAAACCTGAATCCCCTGTTGACATTTACGCATCTTCTCTATTGTTTTGGCAGTTGCTTTTCTACAATGTCAACATGACCCCTTCTGAATTGATGGATGAGACCATCAGCATCCGGGTAAGGATCAGCAAGTGGGAAGGTACTGCTCACTCACTGCCAGGCAAAGCCAATAATTTCTTCACTGCTCTTCTTTCTTCCAGGTTTATAATTCTCACTCTCTGAGAGCAGATTGTCTGATGGGGGAATTTAAGGTGGGTAACAACAGTCTGCTTCAATCAACTTACAGAAAATGAGAACTTTCATGATAGAAATCTGATTCCTGTGTACCCATCTTGGTGGCATCTTGGGAATGTGTAAGGGTTCAGCATGATGATGCTTGCTGAAGGCTGCTTGGGGCTTGTTTGTTTCCAAAGTTTAACACTGAACAGAGCTCCAAAGCTTCAGATGCCCTGAAGCTACCCCACCAGGGCCCTTCCTAGGGTTCCATGTGGTTGGAGGCAAGTCCACTGCCACCAAGGGAAGGGTGGTTGACCATGGCAAGAAGCCCACCATCTGCCTGCACTTACGGGGGGTCCCAGAGCTCCATCTGCAAAACCAATTATGATAAATCCAGAGTGTGAAAGGAAAGCCAAGCAAGACAAGATGGTGAGGGTGCTTCTCTAAGTAACTCTCACTGGAATGAAAGGACAAATACTTGGTTGGCTTCTTCCCAGCAGTTCTACATGGAATAAGCTGTCTGTCCAAGAAAGGAGCTCCGGTCACTAGAAGTCCTAGAGGCTGACCTGGGTCAAACAAATACCCTGTCTGCCACCAAGTAGCCACATGTCCCAGGGGAACTCAGCCTCTCTGATTGTTAGTTTCTTCATCTGTAAATTGGGATCACTGAGAAAATTAAATGAGATAGTATGTGTAAAGTACCTAGCACAGCACCTGGCACATTGAAGTACCCAATCAATGGTTACATTAATAGTATCATTAGCTGGAGAAGGAGGAGGAGAATTGGACAGGAAGTTGGGCCCGGTGAATTTCTGTAGGATGACCAATGGTCCCACTTTGTCTGGGACTTTAATGGTAAAACTGAGAATGACCCAAGAAAACTGGGACATATTGGTCACTCTGCTTCCATGGTCCCTTCCAGCTCTAAGACCAGCTCATTCATGCAGTAGTGACTTACTGAGGGTCTTTTATGTGCCACACATCGGACACAACACTGGGGATACAGACAGGATAAGACGGAAATGTTGAATCTCAAGGAAATTTAAGTGTAATCAACATATTACATTAAAATATAATAATGATGGTGTCTTTAAAGTGACTAGACTGATTTTAAAATCTACTTAGACTGCTTTCGATTGTTTTCTCAGATTGATGTTGGATTTGTTTATGATGAACCTGGTAAGTAATGTTCTCCCCATCCATTTGAAGTCTTAAATTAATTCCTTCTAACCTGAAGACAATTCTAGGAATCAAGACAATTTGGGGGGGATCAAAGAATTAAAGTCAAAGGAAATTTTTAAAAAAACATTTTCTTAATGAGGGAGAGGAAAGGATGCTTAGCAGGAATAAATAATAGTAGCTTAGTACAAATGTCTAAATTTTTATCTTAACATTCAAAATAGATGATTTCTATGTTTTGTGAGGATGTTTTGATCTTAACGTGAAATTATAAAACTAGTTGGTACAGCTTAGAGGGTCTTGTTTGAGTTACACGAGGACGGGACGGTGGGGGTGGGGTGTGGGGAGCGTGTAGAACAGAAGACATGGCACTGGAGACTCATCTGGGGAATTTGGTGGGTCATGAAGAGGCTGCCCAGAAAATGCAGCTTATCTTATGGCAGGGGGATCACAAACCTATCAGTGTCTCCTTAACATAGCCCTTTCCTTTTACTCCTTCTCTATTTTAGGCCATGCTGTCATGAGAAAGTGGCTTCTTCTCAATGACCCGGAAGATGCTAGTTCAGGTTCTAAAGGTTATATGAAAGTCAGCATGTTTGTCCTGGGAACCGGAGATGAGCCTCCTGTGAGTCCCTACATTCTCTGCTTTTTACACTTCTCACTAAAAGAAGACCAAGAGTGAAGCATGTGGATGTGGGTAATTGTGAAATGGAACACAGCTTCTCATCAGTACCCTCTGACTCCCCCTATTATTCAGAAGCTGTTCTTTTCTTCATCACGGAATTATCATTCCAGCTCACTTAGGCTCCTATCTGGTGTCTACGAGTGAGCATTTAATTGAGAAAAGATGCATGTGTTTGGTGTGTTTTTTTGTTTTGTTTTGTTTTTTTGAGAAGGAGTCTTCTTCACCCAGGCTGGAGTGCGATGTGCAATCTCGGCTCACTGCACCCTCTGCTTCCCAGGTTCAAGCAGTTCTCCTGCCTCAGCCTCCCAATTAGCTGTGATTACAGGCATGTGCCAGCATGCTTGGTTAATTTTTGTATTTTTAGTAGAGATGAGATTTCACCATGTTGGCCAGGCTGGTCTTGAACTCCTGACCTCAAATGATCCGCTTGCCTCAGCCTCCCAAAGTGCTGGGATTATAGGCATGAGCCACCGTGCCCACTGATGCATGTATTTTTATAATGTCCTTGCATCATTAGAAAGGCTGCTTTTATCTAGAGAGCATGCCTTAGTTGCAGAATTAGGCATTGCTACCTAAATGGTTAGTGATTCTAGGAAATTGGGTGGCAAACTGCAGAATAGTAAGTGGCTGGAGAGAAATTGAAGGGACATCAGGAACACACACACACACACACACACACACACACACTATCTCTCTCTCTCTTACTATTTGATGCTCATAAAATGACAGAATGACACAGAAATATATGAGCATCGATTTTTGTGGAGCAGTTTTGAGGTTGAAGGAAAACTGGTGGTTGATGGCAGGCTGGACTCTTAAGTCCCAAACACAGGAAATTCTAAAGGAAATGTTTCTGATTGGTTTCATGTTATAAGCATTAACTTGGCTTTTTCCATGTGCTGCTTTTCTATATGTATAATTTAAATCATGTGCCCCTAATAGCCTGAGAGACGAGATCGTGATAATGACAGTGATGATGTGGAGAGTAATTTGTTACTCCCTGCTGGCATCGCCCTTCGGTGGGTGACCTTCTTGCTGAAAATCTACCGAGCTGAGGACATCCCCCAGAGTATGTATCAATTTAATCTTGTCCCAGAATTGTCGGTTATCTGCATGATGAGGTGTGGTAAAATCAAACTCTGAATAGTGATCGGTGTCCCTATACTACGTTTTTCTTCTGAAAGGGCTTCATGGACTTATTTTCATTCATTCTGGCACCGTTGAAAGCTACCTAGCAGGTTCATGGTTCCTGATCCTGTTCCTTGTTGAGTACCTGCCTTTGGCCCATTTGGCTCTCTCTCTCTTCTTCCATCAATGTTTTATATCTCTTCTTTACCCTAGAGGATGCTAAAGAGACATGAGCAGTCAGCACTTCCAACCCCTTTCATCCCAAATGAAAGTGTGAACAAATCAATGTGTTTGTTCTCCAGCTATTAAAAATAGCTGAAATTAGCTGGGTGTGGTGGCAGGCGCGTGTAATCCCAGCTAATCAGGAGGCTGAGGCATGAGAATCACTTGAACCCAAAAGGTGGAGGTTGCAGTGAGCTGAAATCATACCACTGCACTCCAGCCTGG